GCTATAGCGGAGAATTTCCTGAACGGTGACATTGCGATAGACGAATTCCTCAAAACATACATTCCAAAAAAAACGGTAAGGCTGATTCTTAAACGGAAAACTTTGCAACAATAAAATTCATGGTTCGATGGTTCGATAGTATTTAAATTACTCGGAAAATGTCGCACACACGTGTGATTCAGTCTTATAATTTCAAATACTATCGACCACATAAAGCGACGATTATTTCTGGATAATTCTGGATAATTCTGGATTCCTAACAAATCGTGAATATTTTGTTGATATTTTTCCGCAGCTGTGTCATAGTCGCAGAGCAAAAGAGGAGAAAATGGAACGGATGGGAATCTAGAGAAAACGTGAGGCTGTTTCCAACGAAGATGATCGTCCTGATGATGAATGATTTGGAACGATTCCAATTTATTTGCATCGAGATTAACTGGCTCGGAATATTTGGGTGGCGAGTGCCAACACCATCTAGAAATACACGCATTCAGATACTGTTCATTATAATATGATAGTGATTATGTTTCGGGAGATGGTGACTTTCAAAATCAACCGTATAAATTATCTTCTGTCAGACTATAGCCTTTGATATTTAGTTAGGTAATAATAATGAGTACGGTAACCTGTTTGAACTTTCATGAACATTCTAAAGTCACGATTGTTTGATTTTTAAGATTTGTAAAAATATGCCTAGATGATTGTGGTTAATCAAAATTGCTTGTTAAATTGTAATCTGACAGAGAACAATTTGGAGGTGAAATTTCGTAAATTTTGGGTTTAATTATATTTTCATACTAATTTCATAATTATTACTTCTCTGCTAGCCAGTGGGTTACACCGCAGTTCGAAAGTTTGGGAGGTCCTGAATCCTGAGTCCTGATGGATGTTTTTAATATCAGGGATAAAACTTTAAGATTCCATTAATATTTGGCTAAAATTTAAAAGCGCGTATGTTAGAGTGTAGTGCATAGCTTGATTATTATGAAATTTAATTAACATTACTTTTGGTTTAACTTCATGTGATTTGTTGTTAGATTGTTGTTGGTAATTAAATGACTACTACTCAGTACGCTCATGTTATCAATCCCAATCTCTCTAGTTTAAGTTTGTGGGCGACCACATTTTGTTTCTTTGTAATTGTCAGAGTTAGATCGACCATAATAGTTCTAGAACTTTCAAATTACGTAACTGTCTTAGTTTAAATTGTTATTATGACTTTGTATAAAAGTTGCGTTCATGAAACATCTCAGTCTGCTCATGTCAATGCTTCCTGGTCTATGTGAAACGAATGTGAGCCAGGCGCCTGGTAAGGGGAAATCCCGTACAAATATTGCCGTCCATAAGCTAATCACTGCAAGTAAAGTGAAATGTGGATGACATGATGTAAGTGAGGATGAAGTTGAACTCAATAAAATAACTGTACAATGTAACTGTACAATGTACATCATATAAGTATGTAAATGGTAAAGTTTTACTTTAAAATACCGAGTGGTTATTTATCTTTTTCGATTGTCTTTATATAAGTAGTACATCGTTATAACGAAGATTAGAGCTTTCAGTTCTGCTAACAATCTAATGCTGGCGAAGCATAAAATTAAACAATATGAATAAATTCGTACGCGGCTTAGCCTTGTCGGTCAAACCCATGTGCCATGGCCATAGTGCAAGTGCATAGTCATAATAGTCTAACAAATATTGAATATGAGAATATGCATTGGCAAGAATCGTGATTAATTAATTGCTTTACTCGCCATTAAATTGGCTTTGATGCGTCGGCCGTCGTGTGGCCCTCTCTCGAGCATGATGCTGCGAAGCGGCGAGGCCACTTTGGAAATAATTTTGAATAGCCATAGGACCACGATTATTGTGCCGTAGGAGAATGATTAATTGATGTCACTATTAATGAAAGTACAGCCGCGCCGGCGCTGTCTTGTGACTAACGTAAATGCACCTAGATCCAAACAACTTTTACCCTAACCCAAACAATATCTAAATTCTAAATACTAAAAGTAAATTATATAAATGCGCGATTTATGCTAGAAAAACGCTGTCTAATATCAAATATTCTGTATTCTGTATTCATTGCATTAATTGATCTCCGTGAAAAGCACAATGTACGGCACGTAATCACTTTTTGATCCCCCTCCCCACTCCCCTCCGTATTATCGGTTCTACACATAGCTATTGTGTCAGAATTACACCAGCGTAAGCGTTTGGAAACCCCCCTCCCCTCGACTGATTACGTAATATTAATAATAATCTGTCGGCTGGAAGACGATTACTAATTCAATTTCACTCGACAGCGCGCTGTCACGTGACTTGGGTTTTTACGGTTTTGTAACCGGAAGAAACAGTCTTACCGGAACCCTAGCCCCACAATAAGCATAAGCTTAAGATAACATTAAATTTAACCGTAACAGTTACCCGAGCCCTAAACAAGCTTGTCGTGTGAGCAGAAGAATACATTGAATGATGCAACTTTGTATTGTATGAGTAGCTTAAGCATGAGCCATAACAAATGTAGCCGGAATGCACAGGGATTTATTTCTTGAAAAAAAATATTGTTTCTCTTTTTAAGTTGTAGACATATTTATCCCACAAACAAAATTTAAAAAAGGTTACCGGATAAAATAAAATGTTTATTTACTTAGTTACAACTTTACAAGCGGAACTGTTGTCAATCAAATCAATTTTGTAAATATTTGGCATAATATTAATATAGCAATAAAGATCTGCAGATATACGTATCAATGATAGTGATACAAAAAATGTGGTACAAAATTTTGTCGCTGTCAGTGAATAATATTAGTCACAAGTGTGGACTGTCTTATGAAAGTCTGGAAAACATCAATCAATAATGGCCCATGATGATAAACAGCTAACACCCCCGTCAGCAAGAAAACAAAGCCAATCAAATCATCTGTGTGCCATAATAGGCTGTATCGTGAATATAACTCTGATTAAATGAACCTAGGGTTGTGGCAGCTTAGATGGACAAACAATCCAGAGAGCGAAATAATTCTTGTGCTTGACTGAAGATAAGGCTGCACGCGCACGTGCACATATTTATCCCACGTGTAAATATTATCCCATCATCTGGTTGCGAACTGCCCATCTTAGCCGTTCTCTTTTCTTGCTGGTTGGCACCTGGATTGTTCATGGTTATTTCATGGGTGTGAACAGCAAGAATGATATGCCGTGAGTCAACACGAACAATGTAATCTCACAGTCTCACAATGGGCTCAATATGTACCGGGTGACTGGTAAGACAGCGACTTTCATTTCATGCTCTGTTCTGATTAGACCACGTGTTTGCCCACGTGTTTGCCCACGTGTCTGCCCACGTGTACTTGATGACCCACGTCTGCCCGTGGCAGCTCGCTTGGTGCTCACGGTCTACAAGCAATAAATTGTACGCTTGGAAAATGAGATGAAGTAGCAATGCAGGGTCGTCACATAGGTACGCTGTTTCAGGGCCCTGGCAAGCGCCCACAGCCTGAAGAACGTATATACTTGTAGTTTGTACTTACCTGGTATTTGTTGACGGAGACGTCTCTCTGTTGAGGAACGAAGGGAGCGAGATCACATTCCATCATCTGACGCTTTATAGCACTCCTAAGAGCTGTGTGACGTTTCTGGCCTGGCACTGTGGGAGTGTTGTTTAATTTGTGGGGAGTGACCAAAATCATATTAAATAAATTTAGGAAATAACCTGTCAAGTTATGAGGTATTATTAATAAAGCTTAATTTAAAGTCACTCATATTTCAGAGCTATTTTTGGAGCATTATGTAACCAACTATGCAGGTGAATATTTATAACATGTCACAATTTACTGTTAAATTACTATTTATTTACTATTTATTTACTATTAATTCCTATTAATACTAGGAAACGACTGAACCAGGAATTTTTCGCCGAACCGAACTTTATATTATTCAATTATTATGATAACGAAAGTATGTTAGTCTCACCACTATGCTGATTCCAAGAAACCTCATATTTCTTGTAGGCCTTCAAAGGATCTGATTTCAGTGATGTTTGAGGTCGGGGAATGATACATGCAGGCAATCTCTCGTTCTCGTCCCATACTTTCCTCGGCTGAAAAAACAAAGATATAAAACAAACGTTAAAAAGAGGCTGGATCTGGGTGGCCCACAAGAGAAGATGTCTGCCTTTGGGTTGTGGCAACCCAAAGAGAATAACAAGAGAATAGCATGAAGATTGTGGCAACCCTCCAAGGAAATCTATTTGAAGATAAAGGAAGTAAAATGGTTAGTGGAATAAGAAAGTCAAGATATTTAATATTTATAGACTAAAATATGGATACTTACAAATGGTTTATTGTCATCGACGGTTGATAATGATGTCGTAGAAATGGAGTCCGATATGTCAAAAGTTGAGTCCCTGTTTTTTAATTTGGTAGCATCAGCCGAGTTTTCAATGTAACTCGGAGTTTCTCGGATCGAAACGCTTGTGTTTCCGTTGCGATGTCTGAAATAATTTATCTTTTGTAAAGTTATGAAGAACAATAGTTCAAATAATGTCAAATGTGTCCTACAATTAATCAAAGCAGTTTTACTGCATAAATACAGGAAGAGCTGTTTAATCGAAATAGAGTAAAAATAAGTGTTTCTGTAATTTTTGTTGACATTTTTGAGGGAGCACTATTATCAACGGTCAAAATTATGAAAAGGTTAAAATGGTGCCACAAAAAGGATTCATTTCTTATAACGTCTATCTGAACGTGGAGCGTGATATGAAGTGACCTGAAACATCCTCCACTCACTAAGCCTTTCTGAAAGTGATCTGTACAATCCTAGCAATGATCACAATCCAGAAGCACAGCTAGTCAAGGTTGTGACGGCGAAAGGAAACGCCAAAGATTGTTTATCAGAATCTGAATACAATAAAGGAGCTTAATCAAGACTTTTGGCTAAAAAGAATTCAAGAGTTACACAGGATTAATTCCAGTAAATAGCGCCATGGCGCCTATGAAACAAAGGGAAAGACTTGTGAACAATTTTGAATTTGGTCCCTTATATCTACATAACTCTGACACCCTGCTGTTATGTTATGTACGATCTCTGTTATGTACGATCTCTATCCCATCATACTGTGCTATCCCAGGTCCGGGTTGCTGTTTTAACAAGCATAGCTGAGCACAGTTATAGTTGCCTTTAGTTGAAGGAAGAAACTCTCCAGTTAACTCAAATTTCATTTATTTTGGTCTTTAAATGGCCTATTATTTTTGGATTTTGGATTTTAAACCAACTCCATCTGAAAAAGCGTGCAATCGACAAGCTCACAAGTGACAAGGGGTCGTTCACATATTACATAATCAGCCGAGGGGGGGGGGGTTTCCAAATACTTACGGTTGATTACGGGGGGGGGGGGGGGGGGGGGTTGGTCATTGATTACATCAAACTTCTTTATTTTTTGCCCTCTAGAATAATAATAATTTGACAATATTTTAATTCAAATTCCATTAAATTTCACTCTGATAGTGATAAAATTTAGAAATTGATCGAATATCCGGATATAATAGTAAGTAGTTTAGAAGGTGCTTGGCCGGATATAATAACAATGATTTCGGCTCATCATGATAGTATGAAACGTAGAGAAAAGTGTTTTCTAGGGAAAAAAGTCAGGGCGGTCAGTCCATGATTACGTAATATTGCTGTCAGGAGGGGGGTTGGGTCTTGATTAGGGTTGATTACGGAGGGGGAAGGGGTAAAAACTGCTAAAATATCGATTACGTAATATGTGAAGGACCCCCAATGCCCAAGCTGTCCGGAAAAGAAAAAAGTACCTTACTCGGGAATATTATAGCGGGTTAATTTATGACTGGGAAAATTAATGACCGGGAAAAATATGGCGGAATATTCCAAAACCCACCAAGCATCAAAATGTATTACTATTAGTTTACCTTACTCGGGAACATTATAGCAGGTTAATTTATGACTGGGAAAATTAATGACCGGGAAAAATATGGCGGAATTTTCCAAAACCCACCACTTTATCCCTGTCATAATATTCCCGAGTAAGGTAGTTAAGCAGTAGTAGCGTGCGCGCCATAACATGCCGTCGCGCGCGGCATGCCGCCAATTCAACACTGATGAGTGAAAAAAGTTGAGAAACTACTGTTTAGTGGATCGGCGTTCGCGCAATCCATAAGATAGCTGTTGTTAATCGTTTAAATTTCATATTATCAACGACTTTCAGGATTTAAAATCCGATGTCATGACTTAAGTGACACAGCTTCCTGCGATGGAACGAGCACAAAGAACCCTGTTTAACAGCTACCACACTTAAAAAGCTGTCTACTAAGTTATCTATATTATAATTCAGAGAATTATTTCTGCTGTATAATGTCTATCTGTCTATCTGTCTATCTAACCATGGTAACGAGGGTTGTTACACGCACGTGCACGTGCAAATATTTAATTGTTAGAACGGCATTTTTATCGGTTTTGTTGATATTACGTTGTGTTTAGTGCGAGCAACATTTTAATCGGCTGTATCTTTGGTTGTGTAGGATATTTTTTGACGCGATTTGAACTTATTAACAAAAAATACTATTAGCTTCCTCCCTGTGACCACGGGTTTTCTAGTCTTACTTATAATTCAAAGAATTGTTTTTGTCTGTACGACCGCCCACGTGCAAATTAGACGAGCAATAGGTAGTTGCAAAGTAACCATGGTAACGGAGTTGAAATGTGCACGTGCACGTGCAATGATTGTTTTAACAGCAGTTTTTTCAGCAGTGCTGATTTACAATTATCTATATGTTGGTCTTTTCTTATCTCTTAGATTAGCTAACTTATAGAATTGCGCTGCTCAAGCCACCTTTACCAAATAGCTATACATTTTCTGGAATATTCCGTACATCCCGTACATTAGTGTAAATTCTTAATAGTGCTTCTATCAACCTTGCTATTAATCTACGATCTATCAACGGTTACCTGTTTTGACATTCCATTAATTAGTCAATTTAACTGTCACATTTGAGATTTATCTGTTATCTGATGGGTTCAAAATCGATATTCACATTTTCTAAATCTGACGATACTCCTCGTATTGATTCTTACTTTTCTTCTGACAGTGCTTTCTCTCAAAGTGAATCTATTAAACGTGCTCTAAATTCAAGTGCAAATAGTTCTGATAGTATAACTAGTGAATCTGGCAAAGAACCTCCGGCTAAAATGCCAGTTACTCACAACTTTCAGTCCAGTATTCGTTTTGATGTTGATAAAGCAAGTGATAACCCGTCCGAACTTACGGATTTAAAATCTCTTATTGTTAGCTTGCACAGTAAATTTGATCAACATCTAAGTGAGATTAATCCTCAACTTCAAGATATTAATAAACGTTTATCAGCTCTTGAAGAGCATTCCAATACGAATATTAGTTCTGTAACTCAACTTAGAGAGCGTGTAGTGCAGATCGAGCAGAGCGAGTCGAACCTTGAACAGAGAGTCAGAGAGCTTGAGTCAGTTGGGAGTGAGGGTAGAGAGGATCGAGAGGAGTGGAAGTGGAGTCCCACAGGATCTGACCGAGTTTCCGTAAAACTTTTAGGTGATTCCAACTCCTCAGGTAAGATCAAGTTTGGGGACGGCAAAGGAACACTCGGTCCCGCACTTCCAGGGTCCAGTGTTCACTGCCCAACACTCTCCAACCTCACTAACCCAGATTCCCAAGAGTTCGAGAACGTTTCAGATGTCGTGATTGCAGTAGGGACAAACGACCTCAGACAGCAAGGATAGCGGTAGGTGGGTCTGAATACGTTGTCATATTTCTTCCTTCCTTTCGTTCGTTACCATGTCAGCCGCAAGGGTTGCATGCGGAGATGTGATGTATAGCTAGCCTGTGATCAATGAATGCAATGAAGTTTTTCTGGAAACTACTTTTGTTCATGTTTCATGCTACCCTGATCATTATGAGCCGGAAATATTTGTTTGGTTTTCGAAGTCCGCACATTCGGATTTCGGAAGACTGTGGATGTGATTGGTTTCATATACTTATAGAAAACGTGATATTTAGCCCGCAGATTTGAAGAAAAATACGCGAATTCAGTCCTCGGATTTAAAGGAAAATGCGATATTTGTCGCGGACAGGTCCCAGAAATCATTCCAGAGAGTTCCCAAAATTTCTGACGTCAGCAAAATCCACAATTACCACTTTTTTACCACCTTTTTACCACATTGGGTTTCCGCAAATAAGTCAACTTCTGAATATCTAAGAAGATTCTAGTTTAAAGCAGTGTGGTTAGAAAACAGAGAAGAACAACTTTTTCTTTAATAACTTTTTAATAAAGAAAAATTATTTAATTAAATAATTAAATAATAAGTAAATTTTCAAAATATTTCAAAAATATATTCTGATAAAAAATGTTTTCAATTACGTAAAACGTTTGATGAACTAATTTTAATAAATTTGTTGAACATTTTCACTTTCAGTATTTTGGACTACGGGTGTAAGGCTGTCAGAATGATGCGGCTGTCAGAATGAAGTTTTTATCAAAAATCAAATTACGTTGTTAGAAACTTTATTTTGGGCATATTAAACAGGTTTGCATATACTAAAAACACAAATAAACACTTCCATCACTGAAAGAAAGGCTAAAAATGATTTATCACTGAAATATTTGGAAATACACTTTCAAATTTTGACATTGCATAAATATGAGGCAGTTTTGTGATCTTGTTGTTAAAGTTATCCCTATAAGACCTGGTACTGGTATATCAAACAACTCTAAAAGTATGCATTCATACCCTAAAAAACCCTCAATAAACATGTGTTAACAAATTAAAACAGAAAATTCAAACGGCTGTCAGAATGATGGTATGGCGGCTGTCAGAATGATGATATTCTGCATTCAAAAAAAGTTGATCAAAAACATCAGTAACAACCGATACATAAAAGAATGTGTTTATTTGTGTTTTTAGTATATGCAAACCTGTTTAATATGCCCAAAATCAAGTTTCTAACAAAGTAATTTGATCTTTGATAAAAACTTTATTCTGACAGCCGCATCATTCTGACAGACGTACACCCGTAGATAGTCAGTATATTTATAACACATTGCACAACTTTTCAAACAGTAAAACATCCAAACAAAGCTGGGAAGAATTGCAACTACACTAACTGAACACTAACAGAACAATCCATGGTTCCAAGCTCTCTCTCATAACTGCTTGAACTTCAATATGTTGGGCTCACAGAACAGCCGGCAAATCCTCCTTTGTCCATGACCACTTTAATACTCCCGGTCATAATTTTCATGACGCCTCCATTCAAATTATTGATTTTATTGACCCTTCCTCTACTGAAGACCCTCGTCTGGCCTTAGCTGACAGGGAACTTCTTTGGATTAATCTCCTGAGCACTGCTCACCCTCTAGGTCTCAATGACAACATAAAAGGTTCTGGTAATATTTCTAAAAGCAACTTTAACGATATTTATTTTAAAAGTAAAATAAAAAGATATAAAAGAGGACATGGCAGAAAAAAGAAAAAGAAAAGCCATGAAGATAGAATATACAAAAGGACTCTCACTTTAAGAGAGATAGACAATAAATATGAAAGTTTAAAAAGAAAAATGTCTGAAAGCAAATACAACTTTTATAAAGATATAAGCAGCCTTCAAAAAGGCGAGCTCAAGCAACTTAGCTCTCATTCCCTCTGCAAATCTGGAGCCATTTTCCTTGTTATACAATCTTTTGCTGACCAAGACAGCACTTCTTCTCCTAATATCACCTCTGTTAATAGCGAGTTTATCACTTTTCACTATTGTTCTAAAATATTTGATAAACTCCGAATAGAATCAGTCATTCGTGATTCTAGGATCTTGACTCTTCTCCCTCCAAACCTTACGCCTTTCCTTCCCTTAAAAGTTTACTATAAGTACGATATTCCTGTCGGGCGTAAGCTTTTTAATTATAATAGATTCCTTAAATCACTTGATAATACTACTATTTCCTCCATC